GGTGGCCCGGCCGCCGGCTCCCCGGGCTGCGGCGGCGCCGGGGACCCCGCCAGGTAGAGGCCGGGGCACGGGTCGCTCAGGTAGACCTGGCGGGCGCTGCGCAGCACCAGCGAGACCAGCAGGTTCTTGTGCAGCTTGATGCCGCCGCGCTGGCCCCGCGAGTTGTAGATCTTGCCCAGGGAGATGCTGACGATGCGGTGAGCCTCCAGCTTGAACTCCATCCTGTCTCCCTCACGGGCTGGCGCGGAGGTGAGGGGCGAGCCCTGGCGCAGGTTCGGAAGCTGGGAGGGGACGAGAGGCGTCCACAAGTCGGCCCGGGGGTAGACCCTCGGAACAGCAGACTGAAGAGAAACGACTCACGGTGACGCGCTCACGGCCCCCCGCGTCCCGACCACAATACACAAAAGCCCAGCTTCGGATCCAGTCGCTAACTGAGGGCAGCCGCGCCGCCCCACGCCTTATATAGGCCGCTCGCCCGCCAATCGCGGAGGGCCGCCAACCGTTCCGGGCCGGCCGGCGCGCCCTCGTGCGCCTCGCGCGGCCAATCGGAGACCGAGGAGGGCCGCCAGGGCAGTTCGAACATCAGTCCCGCGGAGCAGGCTCTTAAAGGGGGCGACGGTGTGTGGGGTGGCAGGTGGGTTGGGACTTGTGGTCAGAAGGCAGGTGATGGGGAGGGAGCGTAGCCACAGTGTTGTTCGTAGTTAAATTTTGTGGCTTGTGTGCTGGCTTGCTGGAACCACAGAGAACTAAATCATTCGAACTTTCATCCTAGTATGGTGGTGGACTTTGCTCCGGAGTAAAGTCCCCATCCTTCCCTGATCAGCCCGCTCCCCTCCCTCGCCACCATGTCCAAAGCTGCACACACCTGTAAGCTCCTGGCCAATCCTGGCTTAAACGGAGATGATGGCAAAATGCGGCAAAGGATACCGCTGGATAACAAATGGTATTACTACAAGATATTTAGCAGATATTAATTTTGGATGAATCCCTTGCCCCCTTGGGTCACACACACTCTTAGCATCTGTCAATTCTTTTTTTTTTTTTTTTTGTGAGGAAGATCAGCCCTAAGCTAACATCCATGCTAATCCTCTTCTTTTTGCTGAGGAAGACCAGCTCTGAGCTAACATCCATTGCCAATCCTCCTCCTTTTTTCTCCCCAAAACCCCAGCAGATAGTTGTATGTCATAGTTGCACATCCTTCTAGTTGCTGTTAGTGGGACATGGCCTCAGCATGGCCAGAAAAGCGGTGTGTCCGTGTGCGCCTGGGAACCGAACCCTGGCCGCCACTAGCGGAACGTGCGCACTTAACCGCTAAGCCACAGGCCGGCCCAGCATCTGTCAATTCTAACCCCGAAGAAAGAAAAAGGGGGTTCTAAAAGTTCCTAAGTTTTTGGCTGCTAATCTGTCTAGATACAAAGGAATTGTGTCTAGGTACAAAGTTATTGGTTCTTCACTAAAGCCAGCATCTAGTTTGTTTTCTAGATTCTAGAACAAACACAGTTGTTATGCACGTTACAATGAGATGAAAAATGAATTGTGGTTCACCACAATGCTTTTTTTTTTTTTCAACATGAGGCCTGACCAGTCCACCCTTGGAAAAATCTAGCCAAGTTCTAAAAATACAAATAGAGAAGTCCTGTGTTCCCATCATAATGTCATAATTTTATTTTGTGTCAAGGTAAAAATATAGGGGAAGAGTGTTCCAGAATTTTCTGGTCAGTTAATGACATCGTCCATCTACTGATCCTTAGTACATGGCATTAGGGGAGAATCACTGCAGGGTTGTCCAGGGTCCTGGACTGGGCTCCTGGAGAGTGAGTTCGAGTTAGTCTCACCTAAGCTCCACCACAGACCTGCCTGTTGACTCTGGGTGAATAACCTCAGGCACATTAGTTTCTCCAATTCTAAAAGGGAGAAATCACATACACGTCTCCTCTGTTATGCAGAAGATAAATGAAAACTCTCAGCCACAATCTGAATCATAAAGCTAAGCATAGCTTTCTTGGAGTCCATGTAAAACAGTTGGCCTGATCCTGCACCAGGGTTTGGCCAAGTGGTGTATTTAGTTAGGAGAAATACTAGTGAAAGGTGGGCTTGGTTATGGCCAATTCACAATCAGGAGGCCTCCAAAGGATGTGATGGCTCAGTAACATTACCTAGGCCCGAAACTTACTGATAGTAACTGAGACACCAGTCCATGAGACCCAGAGTCCCTCCTCTCTAGGAATTTTCAGCTAGTATAAAGGAGATAAACTAACAACATGAACAATTCCAAAAGCAAGACATATATTTTGAGTAATAACATGACAAAATTTTTCTTCTATTTTCTCTTTCTTTGAGAGCTATTAGTCACTATAAAACACTGATTAAGAGCATAGGCTCTGAAGACAAGCTTCCTGAGTTGGAATCCCAACTCCACTTTTTACTTGCTGTGTGACCTTTGGAAAGTTATTTCACCTCTCTGTGCCTAGGTCTTTTTCATCTTAAAATAGAGATAATAATAGTGCCTACCTCTTAGAGTTTTTGTAAGGATAAAACAAGGTAACATATGTAAAGGTCTTAGAAGAGCCTGGTGTAATAATAATAAGCTATCCACGTATGTTAGTTATTAGAACACTTCACCCCACACATGACCTGCGGGTGGGAGGAGAGGCTGGGGAGGGAAGGAACACAGATGAGAGAAAGAACTTGTATGTGAGGAGGGTGTTGAAAAACACTGATGTAGGATCCACAAGTTCCAAGCAGCAGGAGTGACAGAGTCCAGTATAGGGAACATCTCATTTGACAGGTGTGTCAGGCGCCTGTAGTAAGTAGAAAAGGCTGGAAACAGAGGCTGTGGCTACATGATAGTGGGTCATGTGTGTCTCATTGAGGAGATGGGGCCACAGGGAGCTACTAAAGGTTGTTGAGTAAGGGAACCACAGAATGGATTCTAGAACAGTTGGTACACTTAATTTCACTTAATTATAGAGGACCACTTAATTATAAAGCTCTTGTGAGAGTTTAGGCAAAGGGTCATGAAGGCCTGAACTAGGTGGAGTTAGCAAGAATGAAAAAACTGAGACAAAAGGAACTTTAGTGATGATCCGGGATGCCCCCACCCCTAAACAGGTCCTGGTAGAGCAGGCCTTTGGTGAAGCCTTTCCGACCCACCTGGCCTGGGAGCTTCACATCCTCCGCTGTACGAAGTACACTCCTTCATCATTGCCCTCATCACTTTCTCCTGTCATGCCAGGGCCCCTCCCAAACTGTGCTCTCATCAAACGCAGGAACCCATCAGAAATTTATAGCCAGAAGATAGTGAAAATATTTAACAAATGTGCAACACAGGCACTAACCATCAGAACAGAGTCCTGGTGGCCCTTATAGTGCCAGGGTTTATGGGGGCTCCTGCAGGAGGGGCTGGATGACCAGGAAGGGGGCCACTCAAGGGGCCTGGGGCAGAGGTTCTGCCAACCAGTGTGGAAGCATTTCAATATTTTAACAACTGGGGTGGCCATACCAGTGCATACTGAGCGATTATGCACTTGGATTCATGAATCGCTAATAATGATACTGTCTACATGGCACTGTGCTAGTCACTGTACAGGCATGATTTATCCTCCTTATAAAGTTCAGAAAGTAGATGTCATTATCTCTGTTTACAGATGAGGAAGCTACGACTCTGAAAGGTTGAGTAATTTTCCCAAAGTCATACAGCTGTGGGTGGAGAGAGTGGGCTACAACCGCCAACTATTTACCTGTAAGGCTTGAGTGGGCGCTCTAGGGCTAGATTACCTTGTTCCACCTCTTACTTGCTGTGTGACCTTTGGGAATTTATTTCACATTTAGGGGAAATGAGAATATCATGTCCCACTTTTGTAACATGGGCTAGTTATTTAACCTTTCTGTGCCTCAGTGATCTATTGTGCAAAAGGAGAATAAAAATACCTATAGCGATTAATACAGTTCTAGCACCATACAAGCACTTACTAAGTCTAGTTATTGTTATTGTTATTATACCAGTGCCTAGCTCAGTACCAAGTACCATGTAGTAGGAACACTGTTAGTCCTCATTGAATTTTGAATGCTTTTTCTACTGCCACATGATAGGTGCCCCATAAATGTCTGCTGACTTGAAATTGAGCACGATCACTGTTATTGTTAGGATTTCCTCTAATCCTGAGACAACAAAATGGAACCTTGAGAACTCATCTCTGGAGTTCCTGGGCTCTTATGATCAGCAAGCTTCACCTCCACCTACCAAAAAAAGTGGGAAGATATAGAACATATTCTTCTAAGCTTTAGAAAGCAGGAAACTGAGTTAGAATTTGCCTTCATCAATCTTTGAGATTTTTCTCAGTTAAAAACAAATTGGTAGGGCCGGCCCCGTGGCTTAGTGGTTAAGTGTGCGCGCCCCGCTACTGGCGGCCCAGGTTCGGATCCCGGGCGCGCACCGAGGCACCGCTTCTCCGGCCATGCTGAGGCTGCATCCCACATACAGCAACTAGAAGGATGTGCAGCTATGATGTACAACTATCTACTGGGGCTTTGGGGAGAAAAAAAAAAAGGAGGAGGATTGGCAATGGATGTTAGCTCAGAGCCGGTCTTCCTCAGCAAAAAGAGGAGCATTAGCATGGATGTTAGCTCAGGGCTGATCTCCCTCACAAAAAAAAAAAAAAAAAAAAAACAAATTGGTAGTATTATGAGAAACACTAGGGATATCAGCAAAACAGAGAAAGCCATTGCTCTAGAAGAAGTGGCCGAGCGTGCCCTTCAGTCTGTTCTGTCCTTCCACCTCCATCTTCTCTGCTGGGCCCAGCCAGTAAGCACGCCAAGTGCCGGCCACAGCTGTTCCCACTTAGGCACTATCTGGGCCCTGGCCTGAGGATTCTTCTCAGCACAGGGCCTGTCTGCCCACTGCTGTTGACTCTATTTCTTGTTTGCATGACTTATTGAAGGCTAAGTCTTATTATCAGATGAGTACAGAGCTTATATTGCCTTAAAGTGAGGCTAGTCTGTACAAGAACAATGCAAACCCACGATGGATTATGCACACATAGCTCTGTGACAAGTAACAATGAGTGAGAAGGGGGTGGGTGAAGTAAAAGGAAGATTTCTGACGCGCTGCTCGGCTGGCCATGCTGAGGCCGAGTCCCACATACAGCAACTAGAAGGATGTGCAGCTATGACACACAACTATCTACTGGGGCTTTGGGGAGAAAAAGGAGGAGGATTGGCAATAGATGTTAGCTCAGGGCCGGTCTTCCTCAGCAAAAAGAGGAGGATTGGCATGGATGTTAGCTCAGGGCTGATCTTTCTCACAAAAAAAAAAAAAAGGAAGG